TGTCATCAGCCACAGCTTTTTAGCACCGTCATCGATGCGTTGGTGAACCAGCTCACTGCTTAAACCATAAGCCATAAACACGCTTCGTTTTTATGTGCGATGCAGCGGTGCCTTTCCACAAAGCTTACCTCATCTTATGTGCTTTGAATCATCAAGTGTGGCATTTCAAACTGCAGCCTGGACCCTTCATTCATGACCATCATTATCGCACTCCCAAATTGATATGTGTAGCCATCACTAGATCGTAACTGCAATTTGCCTTGCCATATTTTATTTAAGCAAGAATTATTATTATCATGTCTGCGATTAAGCATATGTTAGATCTTCATCCCTCTTTGCTGCTGTGTCCAATTACCAAAATTACCACCTGGATGAGTATAATGAATATTCTATGTCTTGGGGTGTACGTTTTTATTAACCTTCTCTTTGCTTTGAACTTTTCAGCATTAACTATTATGTCTCCATGTCTAGATTTAGCCTGTAATAGTCTTAGATTCACTGACCTTAAACATCTAGTCTGAACACAGCTGAAATTCTTTTAAATGACCTCATTTCTTCTTGTGTCTGAAACCTAATGTTTTACAAGCCGTTTTGAGGCTCAGTTAAACGTATTTATAGCCCATTCATATTCTGCTTATGATTATCCAAAGAGAAGGTTAAGCTCTTAAAAGACACTCAATAACAGAAAAACAAACTCTGACACTTTGACACGTTAAAGGTAAGGCTGTGTTCACACCAGCTTTGGTAATCAATCTAAAACGATTGCAGCCTTTCATGCGTACTCATACACAATAATCAAGACAAGTTTCATAGCAATAAAAGCCAATGTGCAGTTGGGATGCATCAATATATTGGCTTCATGTAGGTATCACCCAGTATCGGTCCTGTAGGCTGTCAAATCAGTCTTATTAAAGCTGTGGTAGACAAATTGTGTGCTGTAGAGCTTGAAGACTTTTAAACAGGTCAGTAAATTATTTTAAGATTAATTTATTGCCATAAAACAAAAAGGTGAATAAATAAGAACAAAAACAAAATTAAAAGACTGTAAAAATATTGTTATCTATATCAGCCAAATTGGTATTTTAGTATCTTGCAGCCTCGAACTTCACAGTCCAAGGATCCTCACTGCACAGTATTATGAGTGTCTGATGTGGTGTCTTGAGACCCCATTACTCAAACTGGTCTTCATGGATCCCATTTCACATTAGCAACCGGGATTTATTAAGTAAACTTTGACTTCTATCAAAGGTAGCTAACTGCCTAGGGGCCTTAGTCCCCAACACACCCTTACCATACACACTTATGCCAAAACATGTTTTAACATCTGCTAACCTTTGAGTTTTTAACTACTTCAGTCCCACTGATCTACATAAGTTGTATGACTTTTGTGTCACTATAAACTTTTAATGTCTTTTGAGATTTGACACGGTAACTAACAACAAAAAGAAGAAAAAAAGGTCTGATATGCATAAACTGCAACTCTGGGTCCAGAAAAATATCTGCAGATTAGTTTGTGATATTTTCCTGCGAATATCAGGATGATTTGTTTTAAAAACTGTGGCACCAAATGTCTTTTATCAATTATTTTTGGTAATAATTCCAAAAATGAATAGATCCAGATCTGGATCAATTATACAAGGTGCTTTTAAGATCTCCACCGCTGGTAAAAACAAATATCATGCAGATCTGTCAATAAATTTTTGAGTAATCCTGCTAACAAACAAAAATTTCTTGCTGGGGAAATTACTGAACATTGATTATTCTGCTTTAAACACCACTGTAAATATAGGCGGAGATCGATACAGCTTACACGAACTGTATCCCGCAATCTCCTGCAAATAAGGGATGTTTATATAATAAATTCGAGCACTGAATCCTTTCACTGTGTTTAATAGTACTGGGTCTTCTATTGCCATGGCAGCCCTGAAACTACTTATTTTTATTGCTTCTTCTTCCACCTACAGACTAGATGAAAACTGGGATAAATTAAAACAAATTTATGCAAAGACCAAGCACAATGCTGTGAGAGATCGTGAATAGATCAGTAAGAAAATGCTCTTAAATAAAGTTTGACGAGATAAAAGGAGAAAGTTCTACAATTCCAAGGCCTGCATTTAGTAAGAATCACAAAACAAGGAGCTTCGCCACCATTTACCTCATCGCTTTAAGTGAGGACTAATGACGAGCATTTGCAGAAAGCATATGTCATTCACTGGCTGTAGATGAACCGAATATGGAGCAGAACGTGAGGTAATGGCTCCAGAGTGCAGTCTGGAGTGAACTGAGCGACATAGTGTGCGGTGAGGGTCTGTGGTGTGTGTGTTTTTTTGCGTGTCTCTTTATTTGTGTCCGTCTGTGTCTGTGATCTCTGCGGGGCGCGATATTGATGCTGCGCTTCCCCGCAGACTCGGTTTGGGATGCTGTCCAGAGCTCAGCTTCAGCACCAGCTCCCTTTCTCACACACACAGAGTTATACCCGCCCACACATTTTCTCCTGCACGCACAGACACACACATGCACAGTTACACCAGCCTACGCATCCTCTCTTGTGGACACAGAGACACAAAACACACATAGAGCACCGACACACACCTTTTGTCACTTTTGACTGTGGTGGCGGTGCATAAGGCTTCAATTAGTTTGGACACCTCTGAGGTTTTTGGTCCAGCACTAACATTATTCCTCTGATCTGGACAGGCCTGAATGGAGCTGAGTACAACAGTGTGTATATCCATTAGCCTGCATCCCTAAGCCGGTGTGTGTATGTGTGTGTGTGGGTGATGCTTGTTGCGATTGAGAGATTTAGTATGCGTATGTGTGGGCAGGTGTGATTTTGTGCGTGTGAGCCATGAAGGAGGAGGGAGGTAGTGGCTGCAGTGAGCCAGCTCTGACACCAGAGCCGGCTCACTGCAGCTCTGACACCAGGTTTTAGAGGTCAGTCTCTTTTGACTCATAGTTCTGCACCCAGGTCTCTGAAAGTCTTGAACCTGGGATCAACTTTGTTTGTATGTATCTTATTACTCATGTGAAAAAGTGATTGCAAAGGAGCCTATAGTGTTTACAGACTTCATATCCTTTGTGGCTTTGCTCTCTTGCGCTTCCAATCAGTTGTAATTGGAACAACACTAACAGTGTGTTTGGGAGTGCCTTTTAATATCTGCCACGAAGAACAGAATAGCAGGATAGTTATATTGGTTTTTGCTTTGATGAGACTTGAAGAGACTATTTATTTAGCAGCTTTGCATGAATCACAGTTAATAATCATTCATGTATATTTTGCCATGCATATAGGATTTTTAAAACCAATACAGATACATTTGGTGATTTAAACCTCAGATATTCCAACACAAAAAACAGGTCTGAAACAAAGTATTTTAGCTCCTTTCCCCCTCACTTTTCTTCTGACTGGCATCCTCTTGTAAAATTTGAAGCAGCAGGTGGGTGAACCCCTTCGATGCTCACAGTTATAGTCTCCCTGAGATGACCATTATAAAGGTTCTCCACTCAGTTTGATATCAAACAGATACAAGAGTAGAAAAACTTTATTAAACTTAAGTCTGAAACTGAGTTACTACTTTATATCAATTGCTTGTACATACACAGACATCAACTCTACTACTGTAACAGTATACATAAGACAGATAATAGGCCTCCTAAGTTGCTTAGCAGCGACAATTTGCACATGGGTTTCAGTCACGCATATATAATATATATAGATCATGTACTAATAATCACAACTATCATTAGAATGATAATAATATCAGGAGACTGATATAATATTAATACATTCCCCACTTAACTTGAAGCTGGCTGTTTCCTTTTTTTGTCTGTCATTGGCATTTTCACAATTCACTGCACTACTCAGCTGGAGTCCCCCTACCCTGTCAAATATAATACACATCATTGCACACGCCAGACCGCCACAGTACATGAGACACATCCTGTGTGTAGCTTTGCCTGGTGGTTTGTTGTCATTTTGTCTGTCTGGGTATGGATGTAGTGTTTGAGAGCAGCGCTTGTGTAATTAAACTCAGTCATAACCGATCACTGCGTGGAAGCTAGGCAGACCTGTCATACTTTCATATAGAGGAGTGATGAGTATGATAATGCTAATCAGGCCACTGTGGTGACGCTCATCTGTGTCATGGAGTTAAAGGGGCATTCGGACAAAGCAGCAGAGCCGTTTGTGCGAGACTGCGCTAAGCTTAGCTCAGTTACCTCTTCTCTCGATCACATTCACCAAGACTTGCCGTGTCATGCCAGATGTGTCATCTCTCCTGTTTTCTCCTTGACCTTTGTCCTCTCTGCTAATTCCGAACAGTCTGTTCTGCCCACATCTTTTCTTCTTCTCTCCTCGCCTTTATGTACCATCTTCCACATAGCTCCAGAGTCCTTTTTCATGCTACCATTCACTTTGTCGCTCCCCCCTGACCTCTCCTCTCCCCTCTCTCTTCCACCCACTCTCGTTGCAGTAAGCACAGCAGCCTGGATCCATATTGGATTATTGTGTTTGCCGTTAGCCTCTGGGTTGACAGTGTAATTGCCTTTATCCACCATGGCCTCTGCAAGCCTACCCCCCCCCCCCCCCCCCCCCCCCCCAATCTGCAACGAATACTAGGTAGACAGTGTGTCCATGTTGCAAGCATGACCTTTTAACCTTCCAGTTAAAAACCTAGTAGATCAAATGGTAATCATCTTCCATAGCGTTGTTTCTGCTCAAAAGCACAAACCATCCCCATGAATTTCTGTTTCACACTCTGTATGAATATGTATGCTGCCTTCAAGCACCTGATGTTTTGGAGTCAGTGCCCACGTATCTGCCACATCCTCAGGCAGGCCCACAGCCTAGTCACACTCAGCTTTATCAACAAAAAACTGGCTGCTTTTCTGTTCATGCTGTTGATGAGAGAGTTGAAGTTTTCGGACCATTAACGACTTGTTTTGTCTCCCTCGCCCTCTCGCCTTCCTCTCCCCCATCACATTTGTTTACTTGTGCTCAGGGTCGCTGCACACGAGAGAACTGCAAATACCTCCACCCACCTGCTCACCTGAAGACCCAGCTGGAGATCAACGGGCGAAATAACCTGATCCAGCAGAAGACAGCTGCCGCCATGTTGGCTCAACAAATGCAGTTTATGATCCCCGGCACCACCATGCAACCTGTGGTTAGTGTGAACTCGCTACTGTGGGAATTGATTGTCTCTCTGAGAAAATAGCAGTGAATTCCATTGTCGTGATTAGCATTAAAAAGTTTGGCGTCAAGCAATGCGATTCACTGACTTTATCCAGTCTTTGGTAAGGTACTTTATTGTTATCTAAACTCTCAGATTTGACTGTTTTTAGATTACGTCTCAGGCTTGGAAGATCAGAAATTTTTTCTTCGCTTTTGTAATGCCCTTGTGCAACGTACAAAAAGTCCCCAGCTGTCCTCAGGGAGTTGCTCAGCAGCCAGCCCTATACTGTGGTTGCACTGGGTAGCTGCCAGGTGTGACTTTGTTTAACTGCATCAGTTTAGTGCTAGGTGTAACAAAAAAAGAACGTGCATGCTCAGCAAAATCTTCCTGGGATACATAACGGTTAAACAAAAAAACAAAAAAAAACTGAACCTCCTCTTGTTTCTACTCTCACACTCCTCTCTCTCTTTTTTTCTCAAGCCGATCCCTTTCCCACTCTCTCTCTACCTGCCACATTCTCTCCCCAGCTGCACCCTCTGTTCATTTGCCTTTGGTGTCTCTTTCCCCCTTACTTCTCTCTTTCTTTCTCATCTCCATACCCTCTTACTGCCTTTCACCCTCCACTTCCCACTGTCCCTGCCTACATCCATCATCTTTCAGTTCAGCATTTTTTTTTTATCTATCCTTACCATTTTAATTAAGGATGTGAAAAATAGCTACTGAAAGAGCAGTCATAAACATGTCATTTCTCTCCATCTGCAGCAGACATTTCCAGTCAGCCAGGGGCTGGGGTCCAGTGCAGGTTTAAGCTACACACCCTACCTGACTCCCATGTCCCACAGCATGGGTCTGGTGCCAACAGACATCCTGCCCAGCACTCCGGTTATCGTCCCCGGCAGCCCGCCCGTCTCCGTGACCGCTGGCTCTTCCTCCAACCAGAAACTTCTGCGTACTGACAAGCTGGAGGTGACCCACCCAATCAGAATTCTCCTGCATGGCACTTAATCATAGTGAATGTACTCTTTGAGGCTGTGAAGTGTAATTAGTGTAGCATCTTACTGTGATTATAAATGAGTATCCTTTATAGTTCAGGAGCTTTTACAGGACCCTCTGTGATGCAGTACTTCCAAAAACATGCCTGCTCTCTCCAAAGATTTTCTTTATACTGGTAAAAAATGCAAACTACTTCCTTTAATTTCCACAAGAGTTTGCAGCAATGAAAATACAGCCATATACAAACTCTCCACTTTGAATTAGCTTTTTTAAATGCGCTACTTGTAGTATAATTTACCTTAGATAATGACCTGAAAGGGTAAGCAAGTTTTTAGCATTCTGTTTTATAAGCAAGTTATAAATGACGTGAATAAATACCCTTTGAAGTTGCCTTGGAATGGGTCCAAATAAACAATTCAGGCTCTGAAAAAGTTAAGTGGGAGCAAAACAATTAAATCTCAAATCATGTTTCTTTTATAAAAAAAAAAAAGAGGCTGTGAGATTTGTAACTGCGGTAGCTGTTTTATAACCAGCACGTATCCAGGCTTTGTCTTTCAGGGGGGGATCATTTTTCATGGAAACATCAGTATTAGGCTCCTCTCCTCATAGATCTTTACATCAGCTGTGTCCTTGAACACAACTTAAGGGGTATGATTTTGTTATGCCTTGTAGAAGTAATAAATAAGATGGTGTTATTGAAGATTTTGTAATTGGAATTTTTTCAAGATAAACTGCTACTTGCTAGACAGACGCAGTTCGGCTGGGACGCTTTCAGCAACTTCAGCCATCTCCATCTGCCCCCCTGGCAAACGACGCTGAATGAGAATAGCTCTGTGATTGTGAGGCAGTGGAGTTTTGTTTTTTTTTTGTTTTGTTTTTTTACCCCGCTATATTTATAAAGATAAACAATAATCTCCCTAAGACCTAGAGGTGATGTGTAGGTGTGTGCCTGTATGTGTTTTTCTGCAGAGTGCTATCACTTAGCAACTGAATGAAGCAGCCTCTAATGAAACAGTATCCCTCTGAGACACTTACATACTCCCCCACAAAGCCATCGTGCACACGTGTGTGTGTGTATATGTCTGTGTGTGTGCCTGTATATGTGTGTGTGTCTCAGTCCTAGAGTGGAAGTCAAAAGCAGATCCCTCCTGTGATTACGCCCAAGCCTCTGAACAGTTGAACACACACACTTAGGTTTTGTTACGTTTTGTTGAGCCCTTTTCACACTGTGTCCAAAACGAATTAATAGCCTTATTTTAAAAAAACAACAACAAATAACACAAAATTATCTTTTTTCATTTTTCCCTTTTTTAATATTATGTGTATCACATATACATGCATATACGTTTTATTTTGGGGGACGCTGAGAGAAGAGTGTTATTGCAGTTATCTTCTTTTTTGGAGAGAAGCGCATCACTATGAATAAATCTATATGGCAAATGTTTATACAGTATCTCACAGTGTGCTTTTAATATTCTCCCATATATGTAATATATTATTTATTAACCCGCTGTGCTGCTTCTCACACTCCTTACACTCACATGAACCACTGCAGCCATAATTCATTATGTGTTGGTAATTGTTATTGTTGTTATCATATAGGCGTTGTGTGAAAAAAAGTATTTTTGCTCTATTATGCAGTATTAAACTTGGAGGATGATTATGCTTGTAAGCATTATCAGTGAGAGCAATGTAAAAAGAGCAAAAGAGCAATCTCTTATTGAACAGAAATGCATGCATTCTGTTGTTTTTGATCATCTGATCAACAGAAATGTAGGTAATATTTGAGTAAATGATGCCCAGCATTAATGGCTTTGACATCTTTTGGGTGTGTCAGAAGCTTTTCTCGACTGGAAAATCCCTGATGTTTCAGGCTTGTCATAGTTAAAACAGTCAGATGTCAAAATTTCAAATCCTTAAAGATAAATCTAATAATCTTATCAAGATTTTGATGTCTGCTTGAGTCATCTTGCTTTAAGATGACAAGAAATATAAGGAGCCGCTGCTAGCTAAAGCAATGAGAGCAGCCTTGTTTTGTTTCCTGACATGTACCGAAAGCCAAAGCATTCACTGTTTTGTCTTCTATTGTCTTCTACGTGTGTTTGTTTCCTCTGTGTGCACGTGTCCATGTGTGTCTGTCTGTGTGCGTGTGTGTCCTTGTGTGCGTGTGACTGTCCCGCTTCCAGGTTTGCCGCGAGTTCCAGCGGGGCAACTGCGCTCGCGGCGAGACAGACTGCCGTTTCGCCCACCCGAGCGACAGCCCCATGATCGACACCAGCGACAACACGGTCACCGTGTGCATGGACTACATCAAGAGTCGCTGCTCTCGCGAGAAGTGCAAGTACTTCCACCCTCCCGCCCACCTGCAGGCCAAGATTAAGGCCGCCCAACACCAGGCCAACCAGACAGCTGTGGCTGCGCAAGCTGCTGCCACAGCTGCAGCCATGGTGAGAGTACAGCCCACCTTCTGTGTCTCGTGGCTTCACAGCAGTAGAGCAGGAAAGACACAAACATACTAGTTTCACAAGGTTTCTGCTTGTTTAGTGTTTATAGTGGAAGAGCTTGTAACATTTAGATGGGCTGTGTTATAGCTCTTATATACAGCATACCTGGAACTTTCTAAGAGTTGAGGCTGTGGAAAACTTTTATACTTTTTTCTATTATTTGTGCATCAAATAAATGATGATTGGAAGTTTTATGGATAGACATAAGAAGCACAACATAATATATACAGTATATCGCAGTGAAATCAAATTTATTATAGCAGAGGGGAGGTGGTAATAAAACTGCTGTGCCTGGTGCTACCTGCCTTTATACAAATCACATAATGTTTCAGATCAAGAGACCCTTCTGAGTAAAGTTTGTACTAGTTAGACTACATAACACATAGGCCCTCTGAAGGCAAAACATTAATCCAAATCATCTTGACGTACACGAAACCTAAGCACATGTTGCTGACCGTGTCACCTACAGTAACATAAAATGTGGAGCACTGCTTTATTACTGCACAAAACCTACCCACCTCTGCCGGGTTTTTTCTAGTGGACTCCAGTGCACAATTCACCAACAATAGTCATCCCAAAGAGTGGCCTTTGTATAGAATAAAAAGGCTTTAGCGAGACCTAAACAAATCAGTGTAACTCCGCAAGAACAATCTGTTATTATCTCTCTGCAGTCCTCTTTTATTTTCCAATGCCCTTGTTTCGTACAAAGACAATATCCTGGCTCACCCCCTCATCCAACCCCACTGCTCTCAATGATAAGTGCGGTTCTCTGCAGATCAGTACAAATTGAATTTGGGACGGATGAGGATGCAGCATCCTACCTCTGCCTTTATTTTGACCAAATATAAATAAAGAAATAAAACTTCCCCAACAATGTGAGGAGCAGACAGAATTCAAGTCAGCCAGAGAGACAGTGAGAAGAGTTTGGCATTATGTCTTGGCTGTGCCCCGCCTTTCCCCGGCCTCTGAGCGGCTTCTTTTGAATGATCCTGTGGCTAACTGCACTCGCACACCTTGCACTGCGCCAGTGTGCTCACTGACTTTTTTTCCTCCATGGCATGGGCATGCTTTGTGCGTCGCACACACCTCTCATTGGCTGGCTCCATTGCTGCTTGCTCTCCTTCTTCTTCCTTCATGACTGATCCACAGCGTGGATGATAAGGCAGGCTAGCGTGTGCACATATTAGCAGCTGCATTCAAGCAACAGCAAATTGAAGCATCCATAAATAAGAAAAAAGGCCTTGAGACCCGAAGGCGCTGTAACCTGATGTTGACCTGACTGCGCTGTTTTCTTAAAGGTACCACGAGTTTATATTGCCGGTGCATCCTCTTCACAATCCTTTGCTCATACTCCTCCCGTCTTCCTCCCCAGTTTATCAACTTTATGACCCAATTCCCAAATTGTGCAGTCAGATTCTGCACTAGAGGTGAGGAGGGCTAACCTTAGGACAACGAGTTGTTTAGTCAGCACCTTTAATCCAATTTTCTTTTAGTCCTTTTATTGAAGCAGAGACCCATAAAACCTGTTTTGCTGCACTGCTGTGAATAGGTAATACCATTATCCATAATTCACTTTTTAAAATCTAAAGCAAATAGGATAAAGCGCACAGTAGATAAGGTTACACATTAACTGATGCAGTTACAGTAAAAAGGTCCTCTCACTGAGATTATGTTGTTTTACTGTGCCACATTACGTGTTGCTTGCCATGCTGTGATCTTCTTCCTCATTACAAAGGCGAATGCAGTCATCTTTGCTTTTCATGTCACTTTAATAGAGCATCTTTCATTTTAACTAACCGCAATGTTTAACTCCGTGGTGCATCAGCAATGCATTGTTGCTGTTTAATTGGACATACATACATACTATTAAAAAACCCACATACATGAAGCATAGGCTTGTGCATGGACCCTTAAGTGCTGTGTTCATCACACCCGTGTCATCTTTTTTCTTTTTTTCCCCCTCTCAGCAGTGACATCAAATATCAGGATGTTTTTTAAGAAGTTAGCACAAAAACAATTGATATAAAATGACTTATTTTTACTTTGTTAGATTAGAGGAATTTTAATAAACAGAGCTCCACATTATGTTATTAAACTGTAACGTTGCCTCACCTTCCCGAGTTCATTGATCACACCTAACAACGCCACACACCCTCACAACGCAGATTTAGTTTGAGGATGTGTCTGTAGTTGAATTGACGCTACAGAGAAGGATGTGATTGTTAAACTATTTTTGTTAGCCTTTGCTAGTAACTGTACTAATTTGTAGTTTTTTTGTTTTGTTTTGTTTTTTTAAATTTGCCTTCACAAAGGTATCCAGTTCTTGCTGCTGGTTGTGAGGGCTGTGTCTTTTTTTACCTCACTCACATCCGAGTCTGCTGTGTACATTTTAACGTTTGTCAGCCTCGAACCACCTCACGTCATCAAATAGGTTAGCTTTCTCCAGGAGCGCCTTAATGGTTGTGTGCGTAGGTCTGTAGTGTCTTACTTTGAACACTGCTGAGAACTTCAGCGCAGATCTCACATCAAGTGTCAGATCAATATTCCTAGTCTGAGCCAGTCGTGTTTAGCGTACTACTTTTCTGTTCTTGCTGTTCAGAAGTAGTTAGTTACTAAATGCTTTCCCGGTAGCTTTGGAGTACATTGTAGAATCTTGCTTATTTTTTTAACCAAAGTTTAATTGTAGATGCTTTTTTTTGGCTTTTGTACTAATTCAAAAAGTAGCAATGTTTCTTTAAAGTAAACGAAACAAAACAAATTTTTGTTTATGTGCATGCCTATTGTTTTGTATGTGGTATACTTGCATTCAGATTATTTTTGTTTTTGTTTTTTTCCTTCTCACCTATCCACAATGCAATGCTGTCCCCCATGACGCACCTCTGCTTGCTGTTACCTGTATGTTAATACGCTTGAATCCCATTGGCCCACTGCCATCATGTGCTCGCTGCCTGCTAATTAAAGACTCAGTCGACTGCCAAAGCAATGAAGCGACCCCTCGAGGCAACTGTAGACCTGGTACTTTGACCTTTCACCTTTTGCTTTGCATGTAGCTTCTTTAATTGTACTGTAGCCACTCACAAAATTTAATTTGGCTCTTTTGTTTTTTGTGAAACCCTGTAAAAGACTTTAATGATATAAATACGTATCATTTATGATCACCAGTGGCAACTCTAGATTGTACTGTACATTTGTTAACTGAACAACTACAATGTAATGTTAAAATAACTCCAGCTATCGCACTTTCTTTAATGTGTTGTTGACGATTGCCCTGCTACGGTGTAGTTTCTCATTGTCCTTGTGATAGTTACAGCAAGTTTCCATTTTTGCCTTCTTGTGCTGTGCATAGACAAATACCAGATTTAGGAAATGTTAGTGTCGACTTGTGTGAGTATACAGTTCAAATCTGCTGTGCTCCTGTTGTGTGTGTGTGTGTGTGTGTGTGTGTGTTGTCGGTGGCTAGGCGTTCCCCCACGGCGTCCTCCAGCCCCTACCAAAGAGACCAGCACTTGAGAAGAGCAACGGAGCGAGCTCCCTGTTCAACCCCAGTGTTTTGCACTACCAGCAGGCGCTGGCCAACGCACAGCTCCAGCAGCCCGCTTTCTTTCCCACAGGTAAGACACGCACGCAGCGCGCAGATGCAGATAGAAGCAAAGCACTCATAGGTATGCGGAGCACGCACGCACACACAGACACACAGCTATCCTCCAAACGTGTTGTTGTTTTGGAGCTTCACACGCATAAAAGAGGGGATTCTCAAATGACCGTTTACATCTGTTTAGCCTAATTTTCATCTTTTGGCATGGATTTATTTGAGTGATGCTAATAAAGGCCTTCGCTGTGAGGGTGTGTTTTCAATATTCACTGCGCCATCCCTAAAACTTTGATCTAGTGCCTGCAAATATAAACACATAATTGCTGCCAGGTGGAAGGGCAGTGCACGCTTTGATCAGAGCAATGAAAGCTATCATATATTACCACCTCAATATGATACACCTGCCAGTCTAATCCCCAAGCATACAAAGGAGCAAAACAAGCCCAACTGTTTCAGCACAAGTGCAATACTAAAATATACAAAATATGGTGAATATTGTTGTTTTGGCGATAATTTTATTCCAGTTTTACCAAATTTATTCAGTGTTTTTTATCCGCAAATGAACACTCTGTCTGCTTCTCACACAGAAAATAGCAGTACCTGAAGGGCCCTTGAGTCACTTGCTAAATGAGTTAACTGCAGCTAATATGGTAGCCTGTAGCCACACTCATGACTCATGAGGATAAGACTCCTATCCCTCGCTCTTCTCACTACCTGCCTGCTCTTTTTGTTTCCCTTGGTACGGGATTCCTAATGGTGCTTCATCCATCCCTTCCTCTGTGTGTATCTGTGTGTGGGGCGTAGCCTGGCTCACAGTTGCATTTTTTTAATAACCTTTTACATTTCAGATAGGTGGGGTTTCTTCAAAGTTAAGATAAAAAGAAAAGTCTCAGGAGTTGTTTGCCTGTAATATGTATGTGATGGAGGCTTACCTGAGTACAGTAAAAACCCCACGTATCTCCATCTGATCTGGATAGAAGCCTGTGCACATCATTGTACTGATACTGCATGATGCTGCTGTCTGGCACACCTCTTCAGTTTTATTCTTGCCTCTTTTTTTTTTGACCAAAGAGTGCGATTTCTTTGTCTGTTTATTTTTTGATATGATCATTTAATCATGTGCAGCTATTCAGAAATTCCAAAACAAGAAACATGCAGAACAGCATGTTGTTGTAAGAAGCCTAACATACAATACGAGCAGGCTCAAGTCTTTTTTAAATATTGTGCAGCCTGAAATGACACATTAATACAATATGTGACCAAAAATGAATATCCTCTGACCTCAGGAAAAACTCCCTGAAAAATGGAAAACTGGACAGACAGACTTACATTAGCGCTGCATTGCACTTTGCTAAACTTGTCCAGATTTTTCCGGACCTAAGTTTGCTTTATGTTAAACTTTGCTGCAGCTGCATATAAACAGTATTCTAACTAATAAATAACTCAACAACTTAATACATCTCTGCTTGCTTTCATAATCAGCCGACATTGCTCCAGTAACAATAGCAACTGAGCTGAGTGAAGTCCTCAAGCCTTTTGGGTTTGGGTTGTTTTTTTTCTGTGTGTCTTGTCTAACCTTGTTGTTCTCCTTCCTCTCGATTAACCCATTTATTTCCTCCTCTCTCTCTCTCTCCCTCTCTCTCTCCCTCTCTGTTTCCCCCCTTTCTCTCTTTATCTTTCTCTGCATGAACACAACAGGGTCAGTCTTGTGCATGACTCCCGCTAGCAGTCTTGGTAGGTTCTGACCTTCTATTTGCTCTCTCACACACACACACACTGTCTGATTTAGGTGCGAGTTTTGGGGGATGGAGGGGTGGGGGTGGGGGTATGAGTGGGCACTATCTGCAGCCCCCCTTGCAGGTGAGACAAAAGGACATGATTCAAACACTTGTGAGTTATTATCAAGCTGCCGTTTTGTTTCACCTGGAAGAGATGTGACTTTTCAGCGCTCGTCTCGCCGCTGACTGACTCTCTTGCTAATGTTTAAAGTGTTAGCGTGGACGCCGCAGACTGATCTGTTCTTAAGCTGTAGGATAGTTTTGTCTGTTTGCTGTGCTGTGTTGATCAGGAAATTTAAATCAGTTTCCCAGAGAAATTACACACAAACCGGAGCATTTGTCGCCGCACAACAGGGGATGGGAATTACCAAAAATTCAGCTGATAACATCAGCAGGTCCAACATTAGCAACAAGGTAAACTAATGACTAGAAATAAGCCCTAACAGCCACTTGGGTTTTTAAGATCTCTCATCTCTGCTGTTTGACTCGTCAGCCCACACGAATTGAAAAGTTCCCATCCCCATGCCATCGATTCATCATAATTGGTGGCTTGTGCCCTTTAATTTCTCTGGGAAAAACAGCAAACTGATTTTCCACATAAATTTCCTTACTTGTGATTGTAATCAGCTTCTCTCCTCTTGTTTTTTTTTCTCCCATGCTCTCTTTTCCTTTCTTTCTTTCTTCCTGACCTCCTTTGCTTTGCATTGTGAATGGTTGCATGCCATCTGCCGGTGTAACCCTAACGATGGCTTGCTGGCTCTCTGTAACATCCGCCACCATCAACACCAACAACAAAAAATAAACAACAACCCCGTCAACATGCACGCACGCACCCATGCACGCACGCACGCACGCACGCACCACAACTGTTACCACAACTACCATAATGCTCCACCTACCTGTCCATTGCTACCACCTCCTTCCCTCTTACCCCCATTCCTCCTCTTCCTCCCCTCTTCCCTTTCCCACCCTCAAAACAAAGTCCCAATGATGTACAGTGCTACGCCTGCTACTGTCTCTGCAGCAACAACTCCTGCCACAAGTGTCCCCTACGCAGCAACAGCACCAGCCAATCAGGTTTGCTCCTTTTAAAGCTTTCTTTCATCAGTCCCCGGAGCTCTGAATAAGTACTGGGCTGCGATAACCTTAACCCACACCTAGCCCATCCCCATCTGTCCATCGGTGCACCTGCACAGAGCACGCTCACACTGGCATGAAAGCCTGTGAGTGGGTGTTTTCTAGACAATTTAAAGCAAAAAGCAGTGTACCTCTTATAAATCACAGCCCCCATTAGGCAAACCCGACAAGCACTTCTTCAGAGCTCCCACATTTGCAAGTAGTAGTTGTGTTGCATTACTTCCTGATTTTTGTGTTTTTTTGCATGTTCTGTTTGTTTTTTGTTTGTTTTTTAAAATTAGTTTTATTTTCCACTTTTCTTGTTGTTGTCGTCAAATAAGCCTCTCCATCTGCAGTAGGGGCCTCATCTGTACTGCTTGTGTGCTCTGCAAACACACACGTTCAAGCAAATACACACAGACGATTTCCGCAGCACCTAACAGCCGGTTCGTAACAGCAGCTATGTTGGATCTATTCCTGTTTTCCACTCCTCTCGGCTTCACCTTTTTACCTTTTCCTGGTTGCAGGATAAAAGGGAGAATAAATCATGTGAGGCAACAGTTCTAGGCTACACTTGTCAGGGTGAGAGACGCAGGGGAAAAAAAAGAAGATCACAGAAGCTGTCTAAAAATGGCCCCTGATCGGCGGCTCTCCTGTTGCCACGTGTCAAGCAAGAGCCAGGGAAGCAAGGCCAGGTTTTTGAATGCCAGAGTGACGCATGTGTGCCCCATTTTAAACCTGGAAATTTCAGCACAATGCTGGCACACCGGCCTCATGCAGCTGGCAATCATTTACTGGTAGTTCTGTATCGAGGTACGCTGAGGACACACGGGCGAGCACATGAAAAATATTTCCACCACACGGCATGTGTGTCTTAATTGAATTTAGGAAAACATTCAACATGACAACACGACGAAAGACGCAAATAAATGCGTAAAATTATCTCACTTATTATAATAGCAGTGCCTACTACTATACCAAGGACCAATATAATCCTTCCCCACCTCTTTTTTCAGACTCTGCTCCTCCATATTTTTCTTTTTTTGTACTTTTGCTTACTGTCTCAATGTGAAAAAAACCCCTTACATTTCCTTGAAATTAAACATTTTCATGATGCCTATAAAAGTGATATCTAACATCAAGATTAGAGCTCTCACCGTAAGAAATGACTGCTCACATTTCAAATTAAAAAAAGGAACATAAATGCTTTCTCCAAGATCCCCTTTCCATCATTAACCACGGGTCTGGTCCCACCACTTGTGCGCTTTATTGCCCCTCATAGGCCAGCAGCGTGTGCACTTCCTGTGAGTCACTGACTCTTCCTGTAATTGGCATGCAGCAGCAGTAGCAGCAGGAAGCAGAGCTGCTCTTTAAAGATGCATGTGGGACAAGGAGCCGGAGAAACACTGACGTCAGCCTTTGCTCTCTGTCTCCGTCTGTCCCCCCCCCACTTACACTCCACCCCCTACCCGACTCTTTCTCTCACCTCCTCTCCAGCCCATATAAAGATCCCTCCAGCTAATGCCAGGTATGAGCAGGGCCTCGGACACAGTTAGCCCTTGTAATCACCAGCTGTGCTGCATTCAGTGCAGTCATAAAAATCATATGGCTTTTCCGAATACACACCCAGGCATTTTCTGAGGGTACGGGGCTGCCGACGTCACTCTGTCCTAAACAGTGGCGCATTTGTCCCGATACTAGCGGCCTGCCGTCAGCTTTTTAGCTTTGATTATTATATTGGTTCTTTAACATAAATCCTGGGCCGAGACAGTTTGAGCCGAACTCGATAATTAATTGGGCGTCGTGTTCAGCCGAGGAAATCTGTGTCTAAAGGGTATTACACACCCCTGTGACGCCAGGATGCTGACACTCGTTAAGACCTCAGGAGTCTGGTCGATTCATGACCTTCTGAACTATTCATGCGACGCACATCGTTGCATGTCCTTGCACATATTAAGCATGTCCTAATGCTGCCGGGGTCTCCAGTTGTGAAGTGCTACATATTACTGGAGATTGTGAAGTTGCAGCACCCTCTGCTGTCGCTGTGCTGCAGTCGACTCAGACTTGCAGCCTAGAGGGGATCGCTTTGGCTGCTGGACTGATGGGAAGATTATGCTCAAGTAGAATTACACATTGTTATGTCGAGGAGCTCTTCAGCTGGAGCATAAGAGTTGGATGCTTCACCTTGCTGTAGAGGGAACCTGCTTTAATTCTTATCACTTAATTAATATTTCATCTTATGAAATTTGCAAACTAGGTCACTGTGATACCGTGCAGTTCTTATAATTAGCTGATATTAAGGCGTAAAAAAGGACGTACAGCAGTTTAAATGTCCGCTGTGATTTCGCAGCACGTCATCTTCGTCTGCTGTCTCTCTGACTCGTTCTGGGCTGAAACACGCTGCTGGTATCACTGCACCAAATCAAAGGCAAACAGGACCTGCAAACAGTTCTTGGCATTAGTTTGTAGCGTCCTATCTGTTAAATCCCACCCATCTGGCAGCCCAAAATTTTTTCCCCTAATTTCCACACTGCACTGCCTTCTCTCTCGACCTGTGCACATCACACGCTCTCTCCCACTGTGGTGACCTCCTGTGATGTGTGGTGTGACCAGCGGCTTCTGTCCTTTGCTGGCCGTCCATTGTCTATTAACAAGCGTCATGTGGCTTTGTTCTGCGTTGGCTTGCTGCCAGTGGCGCCCACATGATGGCAGCCAGCATCTCTCCTACCTGTCAGCCCCCCCCTTATAGACAGTCTCACACTGTCTCGCTTTCTCTTTGTTGTGTGGCGGTTTAGGCTTAATCTCTTAAAGAGAGAATACAAACCGAGGTTACCAGACGAGGGTCAAATGCTATTTGCAAATAGTTAGAAGCTTGGTTCTTATCTGCATGAAACACCAAGCTGGTGATGTTGCCACAGCTCATCAGTAAGACAGATATGTATTATTCACTGGCAAATACTTATCTGTGCTCATCTGACCTTTCTCACACATTGTTGTTGTGGTAAACACCTCCTACCTGTTGCTTTGGTGCCAGTCTGCTTCAGAGAAATGATTATGCACAATATGCCACGTGGACTGAATCTAAAAGGAAAAGTTTCACAGTTCGTCACAGCCTCCTCTTGAGCACATATGAGGAGCTGTAAAGCAGCTGTACTAATTTAACGCTAACCAGCTCAGCTAATGATTTGAAGCAGTGCAAATAACACCCTGAGATAAGTTTGAGTTGTTCCTACTTCAACACCTCCACACCTGGCTGTTTTTTAAAATTAAAAAAATATATATTGTTATAGTTATTGCATTATTGTAAAGGAGGCTTTAGAAACTGTCAGACTAACAAGGACTTTGTTTAATCAGACAAAAGGCAGATTTGATCCAGATCTAGCTTTATATTTGATCTGACATTAAATTGATCAGAAATGTCACAATATAAAATGCATTTATGGGTAATGGAATCATATTTCTATTAGGTCTGAATTTTGCAGAGATAACAAAGATCCATAATGTTACATCATCCACGTTTATCATATTAAAATACTACTGTGTCATGCAAGCACAGCTGAGACTTTGCAGGTTTTGTCTATAGTCTCAAAATCTCCTTTAAAAAACGAGCTTTTTTTCTGAAGCTCAATAAAGATATGCCAATAACAGCTGAATAATCTGGATGTAGCAGGTACCATTTACCAGTACCATTTAATGAAGATGCCAGTTGAGGACCTTTTCTATCTGTTGTGGTAACAGCAAGGGCCCGCAGGCAGCAGGTGCTGTATGAAATCTTCAGCTCGAACAGCTGTCATTTATTAGAACCAAAATAAAATGATTAGAGATGCACCAATTGCTATTTTTTAATGATTCCAACAACGTCAATGACAACACATTCAAACAAAAATCAACTTTGCTTCAATGCAGAATATTATTTTCATAATAAATTAGTTGTTAGACTTTACAATTAAATAGTCTTCTCTGTGTGAAACTAACAAAAATGGAGTGCTTTTCTCCTGGAAGGGAGAAAACGCTGAAAATGAGTTTTACACACATATTTATCTGATATACGATACTTATACAAAAACAAAAGCAGGTGCAGCAGAATTATCGAAGAAAATAAAGTTCAGGTACTACATTTATCAGTGTGTTAAAAGCTGCTAAGTAACAGGACGTCGACACTTTTCTGTTTTTCACTCATCTTCATATTTTTCCACTTATCTGCTTTGATCCTTTGCTCATACCGAGGCTGCTGGCTTGTGGCTAGCTCGAAACTCCGAACAGCTTTAGCTTTAACCACTTTTTCTTTGTTAGCTTCTTTAAAATGTTTGACTAGGTGACGGGGATTTAAGTGTCTTATTAGGTTTGTTGTTAGGAATGCTAGAAAGCCACAGAGGGTGACGCTCAGATTTATTGCTTCTTTACTCGGCACATTTTGCATTAGATAGCAACATGCTCCACTTGAATACAGGGTTGCTTGTAGCTGGATATGGGGCTCTGTGTATTTATACAGTAATAGGGAGAAAACCCTAACAATCAAACAACCCCTACAAGCAAAAACTTGGCGACAGTGGGAAAGAAAAACTCAATTTTAACAGGAAGAAACCTCGGGCAGAAACAGGCTCAGAGCAGGTCAGCTGTCTGACAGGTTGGGGGTGAGAGGAGGAAGATTGTGTTTTACAATATTTCTGATCAATTTTATGTAATCTTAGAAATAAACAAAGTTGATTTTCTTCCAAAAACATTTCCACATTTTTTTAGGTGTAGTGCTAGTCTTTTGATTTATAAAGAATTTCCAAAACTTTTAAACACAATAGTGTGTGCAGATAAAGTTGTATTTCTGTCTTATAGGTAAACTGAAACGCTCTCTCTCTTTTTTTCTTTGTCGTTGCTTTCTCTGTCTCTGTCTCGCAGATTATCCTGAAGTAAGAGTCAGGAAGGGAACGGAGTGTCAAGAAGCTGCACTAGGAAACCCAAAACATCCCCTCTGTAAATACTACCTAACCTCTCCCATAGAGGTCCAGCAACCTGCATGCTAAGAGTGTAACACTTCAATTTAACCATAAGAACTGCAGTACCGGTGTAACACACACACACACACACACACACACAGGAAAAAATAAAAAGATATATACTGTATGTATTGCTAGAAAAAAAAACTATTAACAATAAAACATCAAAAAATATTCTTATGTATAGTACATACATAGCAGACACACTATAGAGGTCATTTTAACAACTGTTCTCTCAGAATACCGTGGATCTCCTCTTCTTGCATATTTATTCTAAAAACCAACCTGCACAATATTCATCCCTTTGGTTAGTCAAGAAAAACACAGATGTTTGATTTGCACTATATGAAAGTATAGTGTTTAATGTTGAAGACAAGGAAGAGTCACAGAGACCCCATGCACAACACACCTACGCACGCGATGCTTTCACGAGGGTTTTTCGTCTTGAGGTCGTTGCTTTTCTCTCTACAAAAGTTGAATGTCCTCGGGGCAGCCAGGCTCATGAGCTCTTCGTGTGATTGTCCCTGCGAGGGCTCCTCCGCGACCCTCATCTGCCACCCGATGCTGTTAAGATGCCATGATGAAGCTCCTCCCTCCCTTCCCTCTGCCAACTTTTCATCTCTGGAAACATCTTGCCAAAGTTGAGGCTTGGAAGAGGTCACTTTTTTTTTTTCTTTTGCCATTGCCCACACTGCAAATAGGACCCACTCGCCATCTTTTTTAGTTGCGTTGCTGTCAGATCTTTGATAGATTGTGCATGCAGTCGTGACAGGAGAAGTCGGAAGATAGTCGTGGCCATTACCGAAAAAGCCTGAAGGCTGGGGTGTGTGCCAAGGGCTCAGCAAAGCGCGAAGGTTTGTTCCAGACATGCCAAGCCTTGTGCGTGTGTGCGTGTGCGTGCGTGTGCATGTGTGCGTGTGTGTTAGAGACTGATGGTCTGCCGGCAGACTGGGACTTAAAGTGGGATCTGGCACATGATGGTGACACCAAGCCTGGTAGGAGAGCTTTTTACCTGGAGGAGGGTGAAGGATTTAAGTGCTAAGACTAAACAATTAAAAAAAGAAAACACAAAAAAAAAAACGGTGCATTCGACGACACTCGTCAAGCAAACAGATGACTTGAACTTCAACTGGAGGGCTATCTGTGACCGTCGGTTGTTCTGTCCAACCCTACTATCACCGATAATCCTGTTCCATTTTAGAAAACTGTAGAAGTGCCTAAAAAAATTACTCATCAACAACACTTGCATCCAGAGTGTATCACTAAAAAGTCACAGACACAACACACTGGGCTGTCGAGAGCTACAAGGACTCTTTGGGGAAAAGACATCACACTTTTTGGCGTCCCTGGAAGGAGATTTCCAGCTAAGCGCTCATTAACATCACAAGTGACTTTACTGAAAAAGAAACGTAAGAAACGACAAATCAAAAATAGCTTTGTAGAATGTTTGGTGACTTTCACAGTGTACCATTGTTTCTTACCATGGTTCTGAATAGTTTACATGAGGAACGTGAGTGAGACAAACATGTATTGTAAACTGTGTAATGTATGTAAAGTGTCTCTTATTTTGAGAGTTTATATTCATGGTTCTAGAAATGTATTCAAAGTTATTTAAGAGTTTGTGTTGTGTCTACTATCAAAGTATGTTTGAACCTCCCCCCCTCTCTAAAAAAAATCCCTCCACCTCCTGGAACAATCATTTGTTTTTGTTTTTTTAGAGCATAAAATGTTCTTTGGTCATTTTACACCAACATTTTTTTCTTTTTCTTTTTTTGTATTTTGACGACTAGCGGTGTGTTTTAACTCATTATACTAAATTTTATTTGACATTCTTCAAAATTCGGATGTAATTTCATGGTGCTTGATTAACATCGACAATCCACAATCATGCTTTTTTTTTTGAGTTTCATTCACTTTGAATGTCCTCACACACGTTCTGATCTGTGTGTAATATTTGTGGAAGGTGGTTTAAAAGAAAAATTTCTATTTTGTTGTAATTTATCTTATGTTACTCTTGGTCAAAATTTTAGTCAGAAAAAGAAAACACAATGTTGTAAACTATTCTATTTTGAAATGAATGTAATTTATTGAGCTGTGCTACGTTCTGCACGGTTGGTCATTTCAAGGTCTAACCCGTAGGGGGCCGGCGAATGAGAAGTTGCGCACGTCTTGAGTGGGAGGGGTTTAAACGTCGACCCGCCCTCAGCCCTCCCCTCGATGGAAAGCTACTGGACCTTTCTTGCCTTCTCATCCATAGAAACGATCACGGTGTTGCAGTAATGAGCATAGTTATAGAGTTGCTTGTGTTGTTGGGAAAAAAAATGTTTATTGTATAGATGACATTTTACCAAAAAAAGCAAAGAAAATTTCAAAAAAGATGTACTTTTCACTCTAGTATAATAGTATTTCATAACATAACTTGTTGCAGTGGCAACCAGATGTTGCAATTACTAAAGTTGGGTATTTTTGTAAATGACATTGTTAAGTTGGTTTTTGTTTCTGTTTTTTTTTCTTTGCTAGAACACTGTACAAGGTAGATTGTAAAGAAGATATGAACATTTCTTATTCTTCTCTGAGATTATGACAATGACCTAATATTTTCATTAGTAAGTAACAGCCTCTATAGTGCTGTGACTGTAACACTTAGAGATATAAAATTCATCGATGTTACATAGATTACATATAAATATATATAAAATATATATATATATAAATATAAGAACTAAATAATCTATAAATTAATAAGATGTTCAACTTTCCCCCTGACAAAGGACCTCTAGGTTCCACACAGATACATTTTATTCGAGGCTTATGTATCACTAGTCTTTAGGATTGCACTTTCATATTGTTTATTGATCTGTTCTGTTTTTCACTTCCTTCAAGGGTAAATCTGTTCATCAGTAAATGGCAGATATTACCAGTAAATGACTTCAATTCAACACGTTGCATGAGAGAAAACAATCTTTTCTTTTCTTACTAAATTATAACGTACTGAATGTTTCTAGTGAATAAAAAAAAATGTCTGTACACAAAATGTCCTTATTTGGTGCCCCCTGTGTATGGACTTTCTCTTGAAATGTTTTTTTTTAATTGTGTTAACAATGATTGACTGATGGTAACAGCACTTTCTGAGCAGTTGGCCGACTGAGCAGACTCAACTTATCCAAACACTTTGCCTTATCTTGAGTCCATCGTACTTAAGGTTTTATGTTTTAAAGAGCTCTTATGAAATTTATTAAACAGACCTAAGTGGGTCTCTCTCTTTCTCTTCTCAAATCCCTTCAGAGTTTCATTTGAACTATGAATCTTTATATCGGAAATCATTTTTTTAAGGTTCTAACATATGCGTCACAAGGCCAAAAGTGAGAGGAGACTGCAGCAGAGCAAACAGTCACCGATCTTTACTTCCTGTCTCCCAAATCTGTGAGTGAAATCGTTTGGGTCCCATTGCCTTACAATGGAACATGCAATTCACAGCTTTAGCCAGCAGAGGACACTATACCAGAGACTGAAGGTTAAGAAGTGTGGCTGCCTGTGTCATCATTGTTGCAGTGTACCTCACCAACAAAGTCAAGACATGAAAACCAATTGACAAGAAGACCCACGTCAGATTTCTAGTTTCAGTGTAAACATTTTTAAATGTTTTTTTTTTTGCATATATTTTGTGCTACTTTATGTTTCTATAGTCAAATGTTTCTTTGGTTCCAGCAAGATAGTGTAAAATCTATTGAAAGAAAGAAATAAAGAAAATTAAAGTAATGATTTTTGCTTTGGATCTCGTTTGTGTCACACTCTCTCTTCAGTAACCCACAGAGATGTTTGCTCTAAGTAGTAACAGTACTGTAGCTCTGTCTACTGCAGTGCCGAACATCCTGCTTTACCCAGAGTTTTTATTAGAGGCCCTCTCAAGGGCCCCTGGTGGTCCCTAAAGCCCACTGCCTTAAAAGCAAATAAACATCAGCTCTCATGAAAAGAGATTATAAAGCTGCGTGCATTAAAACATCTGAGAGTTGCAGCATGAAGTTTTTGCCAGAGTTGATAAAACATAATGAGAGGACCCAAGAGCAGGACAAGTAAGCGCTTTTTCCATTATTTATTTTCTGCCATTTCCCGTTACTGCAGTGGAGTAGTGCTTTTCTGAAGGGGGGAAAGCAGCTATGAGGGGTTATTAGTATCACAATGGTAATGTGTAGTTAACTGCCGTTTGATGACAGCAGTGGACGGGCCTCTCAGCAGCTGCACTTATCATGTGTCACTAATTAGATAATAGCCTTCTTAAATTCATTACGATGAGCTGCAGTCCTCGTTGAACAAATGACACGAACACAGCCTCCCTTCTCTAGTGCTCTTGATATTTACACTACAACTAGAACAAAGTAATCACAGAGGATATAGCTAACACAAACTATAATAAATAAAAAACACAGGTTATTGCAGAAACATGGTGACAAAGATTAACTGTAAAGAAAGTAAAAAGAATCATCATAAAAATGCCCCCAAAATTTGTTTGAATTTCAGCCTCTGTCCAGATTATTTGTTCCTGTCTTGCAGCACGTCTTTACACAGTTATTACACCCATTGATATCTGATGCTTGGTTGACAGTCCAGCAGCAGGTTGTTTTTTTTTTTCTTTTAGCAAATCCAAAACACAAGCTAATATACAGACATGGGCTGCTATGGCTCCAGAGACTGGCAGGCCAAAGTGCTTTCCTGCAATACAAGACAAAAAAAGAGCCTCCACGCCCTGCACCACTCATATTTCCCTGGGCACACTTAACCATAAGTGGTTAAACCATTAATTCTGAGTGTATTATATCTGATACATGAGTTTTTGAGATTTCTTAGTTTTCCAATAAAAACCTAAATTAATAACGATACATTTTAAGCAATAAATGTAAATAAAAAATGCCAGATGTAC